CTTCAGTTGCATCAATGGTGCAGTGGGGGTAAAAAACAGTGAGAAAGTGTGAACTTTATTCTACAAACCATAACAGTGGCTTTCCCTGGGATGTGTGAAAGAATCTTCAAAAGCAGCAAAACCCCTCAGAAAGTGGCAGGGGTCTGTCCTGGGCTGCTGTTTGCATTGTCTGCTGCTGCAAGGAAACCCAGGTGAGGGCTGTCATTGCTTGGGGCACTCTGCTCCTTTTGGAATTCCCAGGGAATTATCTGAGGCATCTCCTGGGTCTTTCTGCTGACCTTCCCAAGGGTCAGAGCACTCTGCAGAGCAGTGGGTCAGTGAATGGCCTGAGCCAGACCTGTGGCAGCTGCAGGATGATAAAGGTGCTTCAAGCACAGGGCGTTGCCTTTTTAACTGCTGAGAGGTTCTGCTTTGTACTGGGATTTATTTACTCAACTGCTGCATTTACTTTACTGCTGCCTTTCTTCATTCAATTCATCAAAGCAGTTAAAAGTTAATTGTAAACACAGTAAATATCAGAAGCCTAAAATGAGAAGTGTTACGCATATTTTATTTTTTAGCCAACCCAATGAACAATGTTAAAAAAGGCTTTTGAATACACAGAAGCATCTTTAGTACTTATTTTGCACATGTTAGCTCTGTTTCTTTTACATAAATAGTATATATAGTGTGCATATATGTCAAATATCATACTGAGACAAAATATATAGTTTTTCTTCCAGTGTCATTTTGAAGGATGTTTTTTATCCTTTTATCCATCCCAATACATACAAGGCTAAACACAGCAAATGTGTGCTGAAACCTTTTCCAAATTCCTGTTTGTGGCTGGAAAAAGAATGATTCATGCAGATTGCTGTGAGTTTCTCATGAAGATACAGAGATAAATTTTACAGAGTTCTTCACTTTATTGTTATGTAAGCAGGTATTTTGTTGCTGTTATTCCAGATTTGTCCTAGGTGTTATACTAGATTTTCCCAGGAGATATCCTGGAGCAGATTGTAGAAGTACTGAACATGTACAAGAAACAGACATTTTTTATTTTTCTGTACAACCATTCTCCTACAATCTGGAGTAATTCTGTTTTACCATTTGACTTAATTAATTTTGCTTCAATTTGCTGTGTTTTGTTCAGTCACCTCCTTCTACGGTAGCTGGTAATCCTGACTCTCATGCACACTGAACAATGCCAATAACAGTGCTAAGCAACTCTTTTTACCCATATGCATAAAGCTCTGACAAAAGTGACTCAGTTTCATAGCTGCCATCTTTCTTGATGAAAAACACAAAAAATGTAAGGAACTCTTATCTGACAGCAAATTAACTCCACACAGATATAGTCTGTGGCTATGCCAAAATGCCTTTGAGTTTCTTTGTTTTTCTGCCAGCAGTTTGTGCTCATCTCAGCTCTTCAGTGACACACAGGAACTGTGGTTTGCTATTTCCTCCTGGGGCAGGAGATGAAATCCCACCTGGGGACCATGACTTAAATATGAGTGTTTGTCCCATGTGTCCTGTGAGGAACCACATCAACCACAGATGCCATGAGATGCTATTCAGTCCTAGAGGCTGAGGCAATATTCTGCAGAAGTTTCCTTCTTGCAAGGATTTTTGCATGCTGATTTTATTCTGATCAGAACCAGAAGCTAGCACTGACCTCAAAGTAATATCACTGCAATAGTTTTCTGTACACTTTTCTCTGTTAATTTGGCCAGTGTAAATTTCTACACTCACAAAATATTTGGAGGCAAAATTCTGTGGTTTGATTACATGCTGTGTAAAGAAATACCAACTTGTTTTGATCTGCTACATTCATCTAATTCCCTTCAGCACTCTCCTATCTACCTATCTACACTTGTCTACCTGCCAGTGCATTAAATACAGGATTTTAAGGGCTCAGATTAATTCAAGGTACAAAAATCTGTGTTAGTTACAAAGAACTTGGTTTTTTGCTTATGCAAGTGTTTAGAACTGTTTCTTTCTTGGAGCCAAATTTGGACTGAGATGAATATTTTTCACTGGAAATGCAATTACTATATCTTAGAGGTGCTGGGGTCCAAGAATTCATTTCACTCAGTCATCTGCTCTTCTAAATATGGGGTAATTGCTATTCTTTGTAAATGAAATAAGAGAAAAAAGAACAAATTACAGAAATGTTACCCTCTGTAATTAGAGTGCTTCTGAGGATAAAATTGTTTTAAAGGTATAACATCGTTAACAGACTTTTTTTTAATCCTTGTTTGCATCTTGGCACAGTCACAGGGCACATTTCCTATGTTTTGTACATTTATTCAAAACAGAATTAGAATAAAGCTGTTTTTCTTTTTTTACAAATTACTGGCTTTGTAGGCTGTGTAGGTGTTTTTCAAAGGCACGCACCATGCTTACTTAAAAATAATTACATTTTGAGCTAGAATATATATTATGCCCTTCCAATTGAGCTACTGTGATGTGTTACAAGCTGCCATTCTACAAATTTCCGGAGTGACATTTTGTTATTGCAGATCATTTCAGGAAACTTCCTGAGAAAGTAAAATGTCTACTCGTGCCTGTTCAGCTGGAAGTGTAATGGAGTGCTCAGGCAGAGGAAGGACTAACAGGATTTGGCATTAGGAGAACTCCCATCTCACTTTTATCCTCAAAAGCATGCTGCCAGTTTGCCTGGGCAGTATTGAGGGCAGCATGGCTTGGGTGTGTTGGTGTCTGTCATTTCTGTGCCAGGCAGCAGGTGATGTCTGCTGTCCCCACACTGGGATGAGTGCTAGTGCACTTCAGCAGCAGAGATTGTTCAGGGGGGAATCAGCCACTGGAAGTGTTTGGATAGCTTGAAGGAAGAGGCAAGGGAGGCTGTTCATCATTCAATAATGCTGGAAAGGTGGTTGCTGTAGAAACCTCTTGCAGGTCTAGCAAATGTCAGCCATCAGGCTGTGCCCGCTGCAGCAGCGCGGCTCAGCCCGAGAGGCTCCCACGCACAGGAAGCCTGGAGGCTGGCTGGCTTTTTCTGGAGACACTGGGGGTTTCCTGGCCATCTGCCTGGTGTGGGGAGTAGCCATCAGTGTCACTGTTCCCTCTGCAGAGGCTGCTGCACAGCCATGATCACGCTGCCCAAGCTCCCAGGGACCGCTCTCTCCATCAGGGAGCACTCGGGGCTTTGTGCTCCTGGTTCATCCCAGCTGAGCACAAAGCTGGCTCTGGCAGCTCAGAGGAGTGCTGAGGGGTAAAGTGTGCTGGATGTGCTTTGGTGTGGGTTGGTAGTGAGAGCCTGGGGCTGTGCAGGGAGCACAGCTCCCAATTGAAGGATTTCTGACTTCTTCTTCCCCAGAGCATTCACTGAGGCATCACCCAGAAAATCCAAAGTGTGCTTGGCTGCAGCTCTGAGCTCAATTGCAGGCTGATGGCAGTGATGTCCTCAGCTATAACAAAGTGTGAAGTGAGCAAGAGGCAGGGAATTTGATCCTAGTGTTATAAAGGGGCTGAGTCATATTTAATCAAGCTCTATTCATTTGTACAGCAGAGGTGCCTTTTAAAGCAAAGATGCTCCAGCCACAAAGTGCTTTACTTAGTTCCCTTTGACAGGGACCTCTCAAATGCTTGCTGCTGTGGATTTCAGTCCACTCACAGGCCATTTAATAGACATGGTGCACACTCCCTGAAATGAGTGGCTTATCTCCCCAGAGCTGAGGTCTGGCTGTGTGGGTTTGGTGAGTACTTAGCACTTCATCTGCTTGTTTCCCACTGGTGAAATGAGCTAATGTGTCCATCTCATTCTGCTATGCTCTTTGTGAAAGGTTCCTCGGCTTCTCTGGGACATTTCATAATAATTTACTCTGGTTCAGTTAATCTCAGGTTTCTGCATGAAAGTATTTTGGGTCTCTCTTGGCTGGGTAATTTGTTTCAAACTATGATTTCTGACACTAATATTTCATCCTTACCATTTGAGATCAGTAGGATGGAGCTGCACCATTCTTAATATAACATTGATTCTACTGAGTGATGATTCTGATCCTTGGGGTAAACTTGCTTTAGACATTCATGTCCTGAATGAAGACACAAGAATATCTCATTATTCAATTATTATGAAGTCTCATGTTTTCAGCTGCTATAGATACTCTTGATTTGTTTTGGTAAGAAGCCCAGAGCTTGGCAGAACATGTTATTGATCTCACACAATCCATTCTGGACACTGACATGGGGATATCATTCACAAATCAATTTTCTCTGATTTAAGTATCAGTGGCCTTTGAGGATCTTTCTGGGTCACTTCAGCACTGAGTAAACTGTTTAATAAGTGCAGGCATCCAAATGAGCTGTGTGCCAGCTGCAGTCAGATGTGACTATTGAGTTTGTTCTTTTTTCTAATATAGTTTCTGTAAAGAATAACACCCCACTCTCCCTTCAGAACAGTTTTTGAACTCCAGCCACTCAGTCCCAGCTGCTCTTTAAGGAGGCAAGTATTCCTTTGATATCAAGGCACACTGCCTGGGGAGAAAAGGTGAAGTAGTGTCATTTAGCTATGTGTTAGACTGTGCACAAAAACTGTCTGCTACCTTTCTCCTCAGCAGACAGAAACTGAGACTGATATGTCAAGGAAGTTTTAGAAAGGATCTGAGTCAAGTTAATGCCAAAAAGTTCTTTGCAATCCATGAAAATAATGTGATGAGTGAGTTATAAAGGAATGTAATATTTGATTTTGTAAAGATATGGAAGAAAGGTTAAGAGTGGGAAACAGCGCAAAAATGGTCATTTGCAGGCACTGCCTTTTAGTTACTGGTCACAGAAACCACATGTGTGGGAACTGGCTATGGGTTTATGAAGTGTCCAGAGCCAGGAACTTCCCATAGAGAAGTCCCATGAGAGGTTTCCTGTCCATCCCTCATGCACGTGCCCCTTACTGGTGTCACAGACCTAAAATACCCCAACAGTTCCTCAGAAATGATGGCCTAGCTTCCCAAATCACTTCCTTTCCTTTTTTTCCTTTCATTTCTTTTCTCTCTATGTTTCAGATTATGCTTGGCCTTTGCCTAAACAGTTGTGCCCTATATGGATTTCCCTAGATGTGCTCTTTTCAACTGCATCTATTATGCATCTCTGTGCCATCTCTCTTGATCGGTACGTAGCAATTCGCAATCCCATTGAGCACAGCCGCTTCAATTCCCGCACCAAGGCCATTATGAAAATTGCTGCAGTTTGGACCATATCCATAGGTAAGCAACGTGGCTCTTGACTGTGTCTGAATGAATAATAGTGTTACTCCAATTTTCATTTAGGATTTTTTTTTAAAGAGGATACTCAAATTAATTTACCTGGCCTGCATGCCTGAGTACAATAACTGGAAATGGAAGCCTTTCCTTGCAGCTGGTGGGAGCAGTCATTTTTCAGAGCACCACTGCTGCTTGTGTCCCTGTCAAATGTGCTGATAACAGCAATACCAGGACAAGTGGTGCTGTAAAACTGCAGTGTAAACAGAGCAGCAAACAGCATTAGCACAGCCCGGCACAGGGAGCGCGGCCAGCTCCGAGCGCACGGCTGAGCTGCCGTGGCTGCAGTGGAACTCTCTCAAGGCCTGGTAATGGTCTGAGTGGAGCTGCACAGGGTTGGAGGCAGGCTGCCAGCCAGGTATTTACTGCTCCTGCTCAGCCTTTATAGCCTGGGCTGCTGCTGGTACTGAGCTAGCAAGTTTGAAGGTAAATGAGGAGTAGGCAGAAGACACGTGCGTATTTGATAAAGCACAATAAATAAAGCAGCAGTAAAATAGGGAAGAAAACACAAAATTATGGCAAAATGACTCTATAATACTGAGAATTCTGTGAAGAAATTTTGTTTTGTAGAACTCTTTAAATGTGCTTTAAAAAAGAGACATTTGAGGGCAGGGGCAGAATTGTATGACCACTTCCATTTGCTGTGTTGCCTTTTGTGCTTGTTTAAAATGCAGTCTTACAGAGATTTAACATTTCATTTCTATTTTATGAATGGGAATTATGAATCTTATGAAGTGGTTTTTGCTTTCAGTGCTGTACACAAGGAAAAGCATGTTCCAGGTATTTGAATTTCTCCTGAGTTTTTGCCTGCTTTAGAAGTGGAATATGATTCTGGATGTCTGGGTGCTACAGGGACTGATTTTGAAGAAGCTTGACTTGGGAAAAGGCAATGAGAAAAAACAAAAAATTATAAAATAGGGAAAATATATTTTCTCTCCTCATGAACATAACAAGAATATCTATTAGAAACAAATTTTCATGTGTCACAGGCCTGCTCCATTTCCCCTGGTAATATAATCCACAGTGAAATTTGATTTGGTTTAATCAATTAACTTAGGATTTTTTTGAAATTATTATTACTATTATTTTAAACTCTCTGTGCTCTCTACTTGACATGGGAAAGAAAGCTGCTGAATTCAATACACAAGCAGTCACATGAGGACAAGTTCACATGGGCTTGGTTTGCACAGGCTCAGAGTCAGCACAGAATTCGTGCTCCACGTTGCGCTGGAATGCAGAGGGAGAGCTGACAGACACCCCCCAGGCTGAGATGTATAAATCACATTGCACAATCTGGGCAATAAAACTGTTCTGCTTGCATTTTTGGAGCTAACTCGCAGATTTCTGCCTGTGCTGCCTTAGATGTTGCTGACGTATCCTTAGAAATTTTGGCTAGTGCTGAAGTGGCTGCCTGCACCAGTGCCTTGAGGAGCAAGTTGTGGTTTGGACTTGGGTCCAAGGGATAAAGTAGCTACTTCATGCATGGTTCACTGATTCAGCAGACTGGTAAGGAAATCTGGTGCCTGGCCAAGCAGTAAAGACACAGGCCAGTCTCTTCATGGCACTGTTTGGAAAGGATTGGGCTCATGATGATGGAAAATAGGAAGACTGTGACCTCTGCTGCACCCCAAGGGAGGTGGCTGTGCTGCTGTACAGTGCAAACACTTCACCCCTAACCAGCTTCCTCAGGAGATCTGTAACTCTGCATTAGATAGGATCTCAAACAGCTGAAAGGATGAAGCTTACAATGCACAGCTTGGAAAGGAGATGATACAGCACTTTTCCACAAGGCACATGGTTTGTCAGCCCTCCATAAGGCAATGGCTGTTGCAGCTGTTCCCCAGCACCCCAAAGTCTTTAGGAAGAAGCTGTGAGCAGCTGCTCTGTGGAATTTTTGTGGTGCGCAGAGCTTTGGGGGGCTGCCATGGGCAGCACTTCCCTCCCAGGTGCAGCTGTGCCTGTGTGCCCTCCTGTGTTGGGATCACAGCTGGGAGCACGTGCAGCACATCTGGGCTTTATGTTCAGTTTGTTCTCTTTGATGCAGCTACTGCTGGCTCAGGAGAGCCTTTGCTTGCATCCATTTTTTTTTTTTTTGAAGATAGAGGCAGAATCCCTTCTCCCCAGACAGTCTGTTCAGGGCACTGAAATGCTGTTAGATTTCCTCCCCAGTGCATATGATGCCCTTTTACTTGGGCTTTCTGCAGTAGGGTGCATTAAATGGAGAAAGAGAAGTACTCTTGGTATGCATCTAGTTCATTTTTAGCATAACTATTTGTACTTCATAAATGAATTTAGAAATGTGGCAGACAAGGGAAAAAACTGAGCATGGAACGAAACAGAACTCACTCAAAGTGTATTGCTGCTGTTTTCTGGTTCTTAACTGCCTTACCTGTCACTTGGAAATGCCTGGTGAAATCCTGTGCTCATTTCAGGAGGATGAAATAGGTTAAATTAATTCATCCTCACTTTGGTGTTAAGTGTCACAAAAGAATTTGGGCATTTCTGTTTGTGATTAAGCTTCAAATTCAAAGCAGGGCTCAAGTGCAGGCTGGTCAGTTTGCAATTCCTAAATCCTGCTTCAGATGAAGAAACTTTTAAATGCATTCCAGTCAAAGAATCCTGAATTCAGTTTCTGAATCAGAATTCAAAAGAAGTAAAAAGCATGTAATTTATCTTAATTCAATAGCTTTGCATTCCATTTTTCTGAAGTATTAATGCTGACAGCAAAATATAAAAGAGGTTCTTTTGCTCATTGAGCTACAAATTTGTCAAGGTGCACAAGCCTAAACTTATGATTAAGTTTTAAAGTAGGGGAACATAACAGAGTCCTCCTGTCTCTTGACAATTTCTTTGTGAATAGGTCTTTTCCAAAGTTCTCTTTGTTCCAGATAAAAGTACATCACAGACAATTGTCCTGTGCTTTAGCAAACATAACTTAGCAAGATTTTTGTAGTCAGTTAGAGGAAAAGTGGCTGTGAAGGGCTGGGCTTGTAAAAATTAGTTTTGTGGTAGATAGCACTGTGCTGAGGCTGGAAATTAAAACACAGGCAACAGAAATATCCTCACAATTTAAAATGAAAATCAATTTTAGGTGTGAGCCTGCTGGCAGTGTCTTGGTATTGTTTCAAGATTTCAGACTTTGTGTAGTTTCAAAGTTTTCACCAGTTACTTGGGGACTTGGCCATCTCACAGCCTCCTCTGCCCTGCTGTGAGGAGGTGAGTGGAGTCCCCATGCAGGGCTCAGCAGTGGTGAGGAGCAGCCAAACCCTGGGAGCATACTGGGTCATACAGGAGAAAGTGGTAATTGGGTAACATTAAAATAAACAAAATATCCCTCTGAAAATCTGAATGAAAGCACTTCATTGATGTGGAGGTACACACACATTGCTTCTGATATGAAAATAACTGAAACATTTTAATTCTGCAGTTCCTTGTGACCCAATATATGTTGAAAGGCTTTTTCCTCTGCTTCCTGGGGTGTTCAAGGTTTGGTCATTTGCTATAGAGAGCTGAAATTACACATGCTGCCAATTTTCCAGCTGACAGTTTCACATCCTCACAAGCAGTGTAAATTCAATTTAGTTCATAAGTGACCAAGATAGGGCTATCCCTTAAATTTTTCTCTGTGTGTCAGTGCCATAGGCAGATGCCACAAACTGTGTGTGTGTCTGTATGTGTGTGTGCATGTTTGAAATCTTTTTCATTCTTTCTGTGACTCATTAATGAGATCATCATTTTGATTTCAGGGAGGTACCTGCGGTTTGTGTGTATGATAAACCATTCAGGTTTAAAAATGAAATTTAAATCCCCATTCAACTTTCATAGTGCTTCATTGTTTTATTTAGGAGATCTATTTATAGAAATATGGAAGAATATGAAAAGTATAAATGTGTGCTGTGAGGATCAGTACACTCATCTCAGACTAAGTGAACTTACATCTAACAGCTTTTTGTTTCTGCCCTGAGTGTTTGTGTCTCTCAGGGGCTGAGCAGCCTCATGCTTGCAAGCTGCTCTAATGATGTCCTTCAAGAGCCTCCAGATACCAGCTGAGCCTTCTCCTCTCTCGCTGGAGACAATCCTGGAGTGGCAGCACTGATCCAAAAGGAATTGTGCTCCCCTAGGGCAGGGGGATGTGCTGAGGGCAGGTGGTGCAGGGAGACCAAGGGGGCCTGGAACAGCTCTTGGAGCTCCCTGAGGTCACAGCCCCAGAGCACATGCAGGGTTCTGGTTTGCATTTCTGCCCATCAGTGCCTCTCGGGTCAGGGGCAGCCCAGCAAGGCATTTCCATGGCTCCTGTGCTGGTGGGGTGTGTTTGCTCCTGGCACCCTTTGCTCTGTGCTGGAGCTGCTCCTGGGAGATCATGCTTTGGGACAAGAACAAAACCCCAGGAATTTCTTTGCAGGCTTCAGGTTAGCACAAACCTCTAGACAGATTTCATGGGAAAAGGGCAAAACCACTGCTGATAAAGAAGACAGCCCATGGAAGGTCAAAAATATGTTCATTTGGGATTTTGCTCAAACCTTTCCCACTAAGCAGGCAGGCTCTGTGGCTCATCACTTGGATGCAAGGAAGCAGTGCTGAAACCACTGTTACTGGCAAAGCAGAGGTTAGACAATCACCCTCCATTTCCTGGAAAAACATACACATTCCTGACTATGAGCACTGCCTGAACAGAAGGCCAGCAACGACATATATTGCTGGGAAAATGGTTGGATGCTAGTAAAGTCTAAGGGAGCTTAATATCTTTCCAGGTCTGGGAGATTTAAAATACACTGTATTAATGTACTTTAATTTTTTTTTTTTTTCCTTTTTCTATTTGACACTGAATGGCTGACAGGGTATGTTTGACTAAAATTCTTTTCTTGAGAGCATGGGGATTGTAGTTCGGCCTGTAGGCAGAGGTGCTGCAGTGATGCTGATCTGATAATTTTTGTTTGCCTCACCAG